TGCGTAGGTTTTCCCGTTTGGCCACCTGACAGGATCACCAGCATGACGGATCAGTTCAATGATTTTGTCTTGCCCTATCAACCTGGCCAGGCCATCCACGTATTTATCTCTACTTCTGTTTTCTTGCTGTCTTTCCATCAATCTTCCCTGTTGTTCTCGATTCCATTCGTTCTTTGTTTCATACGGTTTGTCATATAAAAAAGTTAAGTAAAAAATCCCTTTTCACGCCTTGGGCGCATCGGGCATATGAGAAAAGCACCCATATTTTTACAGACCATTCGGCACTAGGTGGGTAATGTGGTCAGCATTACACCGGCCGTCTTTACTTCCCTAGGACATCCATTCTAGTACCAATTTTAGGCTGGGTCGACCTGCGACGCCCCATACCATGATAAAAAGGCACGCAGGCAGCAGTGGGTTTCGATCGCGATACGTTGGAATTACGAGTCGGACTCGCAACGCCTAAGCCACGGACGCCGCAGTTTGTCATATACACCAAGTTTATCCTTACACATACACAACACTGAGACATGAACTTATCAATAATTTCAAGCACTCTTGAGTCCACATGACATTTCATGCCACATCTTGGAACTCTCAATCAATACCTTTATTTATCTAATTACTTTGAAAGCCTTAGTGTTTCTTCTGTGTTCTCAATTTCTCCTTCTAATCCCGTGTCGTTAGGGCAGCCAGGTTCTGATGACCATAATTAACGATAACTCCGACACGTAACATCAAACAGTCGTGGTAATGATGTCCCCTGATAGTTGGCGGGAAAATCTGGCGGGAATATAGAAACGTCAACATTGGTGCAGGAATAATGATTGATCGGCTGCAGGATTAGTGACTTTCGCCCCAGTCTTTCATCATCGTTACTCTTACAATTTTTAATTATTTGTCCATTATAACTTGTGTTGTCTGAATCTTGAATCATCTTTTAGGAGCGCTGGGACCTCGTTTGTCTTTCGTTCTTTCTTTCTTTTTCTTTCTGTGTTTTCGGATTAACCCCCCCCCCCCCCCCCCCCCCCCCTTTCCCTTCCCCTTTTCCTATATTTTTTTTTTTCAAGTTAACGTGAAATTGGAACCCTCAGTGGCATCACATCCGCCAGAGTTTAAGAACTCTGTCCGCACTGCCTGAGCGCGTTCCAAACGTCTTGACAAACTTTAAAAATCTGTAACTCAGTAACGGTTTGTCTAAGTAGGTGAAGTTTTAGTGTAAAGAAACATTTAGTTTTCATTTTGCTTTTTTGTTGATACGGAATATGAAAAAGCAGACAGCTATTCAAAGTAAACAGTCAGCACGATTACAGTAACTTGAGTGGGGCAAGCTTTTCAAAACATCAAATCGCACACCTGTCGTAGGCGTGTCACTCTCATGTGCTGAGCTCCTGCTTTCCGTGAGTTGCGGATTTTCATTGAGTGGGGAATAAGCTGTTAAAATAATCACCACGTGTGATAATTACTGTATATTCTATTTTTCAGGGGGTAACGACATATATTAGTCAAACAACGTTCAAAGAAATTCGCCGCTTTAAGAAACGGGCAGCATTTGCGCAATTGTAAATCATAAAGACATGGGAATTTAAAACCTCCTGCACGAATTCTCGTAGTTCCGTACAGGAATTTCTCTAGGTATTTGTTTGTTTGTTTGTTTTAGTATCCAGAAGCCAAGAGTTGTTAACCCTTAGGCTTGGTATTATGGATATCGCAACCTTTCGGCCTTGATTCCATTTTAAATACCGTAAATCTGGGAGAAAATGTGGCTTTCCTGCCTACCCCCGGAATTGAACCCGGACCACAAGGAGTTCGTCACCCGGTCTCCGCGCAATCCGGTTTAGCCAACTACGCTAGAGAGCCGGGCGTGGGTATTTGTTTAAGTATGACAGCATGAGTTTTGAAACGCACTTTAGTTGATTTCCATGTGGCCAGTTAGAATCAGTTCGTCATCTTTCTCGCGGCTTTCAGAAATTGCTGCCAGAGTTGCACAATGGAAGCGATTGCGGTCTCACCGCCTGAGACATATCGACGAAAAAACAGGTAACATACATACAGTTAGACCACTAGGTTTGAACCTTGGGGGGGGGGGGGGGGGGGGGGGGGGGGCTTTCTAGGGAGCGCAAGAAAGTTCAAGAAAAACAAAAGCTTCAAGCCAATTTTACATGATACTAACGTTTATTTTCACGTTAATTTTAAAAAAAATCATGAAAATAAAACAGCGCTGCTAGCTTGATGTGGAGAGTGATGTGTGTTGTGCCTTGTCTAACATCAGACCAACAATAGCAGATATTCTCAGGATAAAACACGGTCAAACATCACACTGATTTGTGGACACCAATGTACTAGTTGTTCTTGACTTTTATTTTTTCAAATCTTATTCAACAGTTTGAGTTATGTGAATGTGTTTTCTTCAAGTTCTTGATAAAAGTAATTTTTGTTTCCTGTTTTGTTAATCAAATTCTTTCAAAGTAGGCATATAGTTTTTGCCAAACTCTCAAGGTAGCGCCTCCTGAAAAAGATTTTAAAAAAGTCAGAGTTAGACAGACATATACGTTAAGTGTATATGTAGAATGGAATGTAGAGGGTGGGTGAGGGGGGGGGGGGTATATGAGTGGATGGACAGGCCAGATGTTGGACTTCGGTCACACACTTT